ATATATCAGCAAATAGAGTTTGAGATCTAGGTCCAGAATTTAAAAACTTAGTACAGACAAGAAAGTATAAATACCTGCTGCTTTGAACTGAACCTGAAGATCTTCCTAGTCTGAATTTTATCCAGTGCTTTCTAAAGAGGCGTTTTTAAAATCCTAGTCTAGACAATAGATGAGGCTGCAGGGATGCAGAAAGCTCTGGCTTGTCTGTCTGTTTGCTGAACTGGTTGATGTGCTGTTTGCTTTTATGCTGAGAACTGTTTTACTAATTTGTGCATTTCCTAAAACCTCCTCCCTGCTGTGACCCTTCCAGGGAGCTCTCATTGTGCACGATACGGCTATTTCAGGGATCCTGAGATACTGTGTAAGGGCAAAGTTACTGCCAGGGCATCTCCTGCATACGGCACTGGCATTTTTGTGCAGAGTGTCTTTCATCTGATTTGTGAGAGAACACCAATTTTATTTCCAGATTAAAACCACACTTAAATACTCTATCCTCTCACTTTAATGCATGAAGTTGACTTACGTGACACAGCAGGGACTGTACATCTCATTGTAATATCAAGGTATGGGTTTACAAGCATGTGATTCCAGGGGAGTTTTGAAAATGTTTGCATAGTACATGCTGCTGACCCTTTTTATGTATTTAGTACACGTTTGGGAGGTAGTGAAAGTCTTTACTATCACACAGTAGTTAGTAATTTAAACTACGACAGTAAGTCAGGCAGAGCTCCTGGTGACCGTCAAGCGTATGCAGGCAAATACACTACCCAATTCACATAGGAAGCCGTATACACATCAGCAAATGTGGTGTAGTGAAGTAGGAGTCCTTGTATGCCTTAATCTTTTTATTTTCCAGAGTGATAAAACTCATCATACCTGAATCTCAAACAAAATGTCTATCATTTTATCAGCAGATTTCTATTAATTGCCTCTATGCCATTACTGTCACAAAAATGATAATGTCTCTTTAAAATCTCATGGTGTCTGTGGTCACCTGCACCATGTGTTTATTTGGCTTCTCTTGTCACTGGCACGGGGCAGACTTGCTTAGTAGTGACCCTGTTGAACTTTAAAAGGTATTTTTCATGCTGGTGGCATAAAATCTTTATTCATATTTGATGACAATCTTGAACATCTGTCTTAGTTCTTATAGCAACCCCTGCTGAGGCTACAGTGTGCATCTGACCTTGCTCTAATGTCTGGAATATGTATCCTGGAGTTGAAAGAAATGTGATTTTGATATTTCTACATTTTTTTTTCCTCATAAGGATAACCTCAGTGGTAGCAAATGAAGCCTTTCACACTTCCAGAATGAAAGTTAAAAGTAAATGCCTCTAATCCACTGTGAGCTGAATCTTAATGCCAGCACTTAGACGAAATACTCTGTGAAATCGATGGAAATTTTACTTCTGTTGGAGGATTAGCAGAGTCTTTCAAGCACAAGGTGAACATGGGGCAAAACTAGGGAGGAATCTTTTTTAGATGATTTATAACTTCACTAAAGCACAGAAATAAAGCCTGAAAGTGAAATGGAAAATGAGAGTCCCTCAAAAAACACAGTTCTCGATAATCCTGAGTTAACCTTTAACATTAAATAATATTTATATATGACATTATTAAGCTTAGGCATGCTTGTTATCAGTAGCAAGCAAATTGGGAGTATGGAAACCTCTGTCCTGAGATTTCAGGAGTGCTTTCAAAACGTGACTACAAGGGTAGCTCTGCTGTTGTTGATCCCTGTTCTCTGCCTCATGGTAGATGAAGCCCAAGACTCTTGGCTTGGGTTCCCAGCCTTTGGGGAGGTTTTGGACAGTTTCTTCTGCAGACATTTTCCTCTCCATCTTTCCTAGTGCAGAGGCTGCACACATACTGTGCACCAGGCATGGGGGTAGCCTGCCCAAAAGCCATACTCTGTCCTTCATCCAGCAGCTCCATCAAAGTCAGCCACAGCGTAGTTGTCTCTCAACTCTGCCAAGTTTCTTGTGTCCTTATTAAACAATGAGGTATCACAGTCAAGATAGGAACTCAGCAGAATTGGATGCATGGCTAGGTAGACTAGCTCCATGCTTTCATTTTAGGAAAGACTCTCTCTCAAAGATGGATCTCTCATGGGAGAATTAGAAAGTGCTGTTTCACCTTCCCCTCCCTTCTGTCTCTTGAGAAAGCTGCTGAGGCAAGACAGTACCTCAGTGTGCACCAGCCTCTGAGCCAACGCCGGAGAGCCTCTTGCTTTGCTTTGCAGATACGAGGTGGCAGCAGGCATTTCAGTGGTTTTGTTTGTCTCCAAGGTGGAAAATTAATCTTTTCATTGTAGACTGTAGATTTCATACCAAATCTATTCCCTTCAGAGGACTTGGGCTGCAGCAGCATCCCTGATTAAGGCTTCATGTTAACTATCAGTCAAGGTTTTATTTGCCTAGCTCTTGAATAGTATTTCTCACAGGAAGCAGATGTCATTTGTACTTTATTGGTCTGTGCTGGCTTCCACTTCAGTCTTCGCTTTACTGGAAGGTGTTGCTTCAGACCTGGAATATTCTTTATGCCTGGGAGATGTTATGCTTAACAGGGAGATGTGAGCTGAAAGCTGTAGCTCTAATTGGGAGGTGGAGGAGGCAAGGTGTTTACTGTGCAGTTCCCACCCTGGCATAGGCCATCCAGAGCCAATCTTTGCTCTCTGGAGTTACTTTTCCCTCGATTTATTTGATTGAACTTTTTGTTGCACTGTTTTTTAATCTATCTGTCTCTGTTTCATGCAATTGAAAGCACTGGCAGCACTAGCTAATACTGCTTTGAAAGCTGATGTTCTGAATGCTTTGTGAGTTTTGAATTGTGATGACTGAGGCTTTTAAGAAAATAGAAATATTGTGTAGGTTTTACCGTTTCCTTGTAGTGCCTAATGAGTTATCTCTCTAAGCTCTGTAGGGCAAGTAACATTTTTCTTACTTTAAATGGTACAAGTTGATCTGTTTTAGCCTGGTTTTAAACTTGCACCTGGCATGATAGTCAAGCCAAAGAACCTATCTTGGACAGCAGAAAGTTAGAATAGAGTTTGGTGTTAAAAAGCAGCATTACCCTCCCTGGAAGCAGGGGTAAAGAGAGATGAAACCGGACTAGGTTTTTGCAGAGGAGGGGCTGGTACAACAGATAAAAAGGAGCTATAACCAAAAGGTTGAAATTAAGAAATATTTCATATTATCCATGGCATTGTGTGTTAAAATATATTTATACAACAACTGTGAAGGCAATATCTCAGTAATACGCTAAACCTGAGATTTGATTCAATCCATCAGAGAAGCAAGGCTCCAGAGCAGTTCCACAGAGACATAGAATAGGTATTAGGTATATAAGCAAGATTGCAGGAAAGGACCTGTGCTCACCATGTGTAGGACCGTTGCTCTGTCTTACACAGGCATATCCCTGATCCTGTCAGCAGACTGGCCGAGGTCTCCATGCCCAACTTTCTCATGTGCTGAATTGTCACTGAAGTTTGAACTTTGTCTTCCTTTAGCCTTTTTCCGTGGGTAGAAATGACAGCACTGCTTCAGAGAGCCCTTCTTTGGTATTTTCTCTGTCATTCTGCACCTGTGTCTCTTCTCACAGAGCTATTCCCTGAGCATCATAAGGAACATCAGTGAAGAATTCATTTTGTTTTGTCAAGTTTCTGGTCTGACCCTTAATTTAGAGCAGTCATTTCAGTCTACAATAAACTCTGTGTTCCTGCATGCCGCAGTGAAAGAATTATGAGTAGTCCTTATCCATGTGCATTCAGGATGCTTTGGTAGCCCCGTGGGACCAGTAGACTTCAGTGCCTGAAAACTTATGGAATGGGGTAAAGTCAGGATGTTATTTTCTGTATAATAGTATATATGGGGTCTGCCTGTATGTAAAAGCTTTTACATGATTCACTGAGACCATTAGGAGTGGAAATGCATACCATCATTTCAGGCATAGAGCTCTTCAGAATGAACAGCTTTTTCCATCTCTCCCCAGGGAGCCCCGGGAGGCATCCAGCATGTAGCTGGGAAGAGACTGTTCATAAGTCTTCCATCACAGCATCCAGGAACACAAAGCTTATTGTTGGGATGAGCCTGCAGCTCTGAATGATAAGTAAGGCAGGCTGGTTAGATGGAAAGGACTTACTTCCCTTGCTAAGACAAAAGCATACTGATTTTTAACATGTAACAACCTGGACCTCTCATGAGTGTAAGGAGCACATGTTGGTAGAGAGTCCAGAGCTGAACACAGTATTCTGTAAGCATGGTGAAGTAATCAGGCAACAAGGCAGAATGAGAACAAAGATCTCTTTTGACTGAGTTAATTTTAGGCATATATTCTGTGCTTTCACCTGTGCTGTGCTTTTTGCCTCTCTCTGTTTCTGATATTCATTGATGCACCAGGATATATCCAGTCCAGGCTGCTTATTTCATATACACTCTTGCGTTTCAGTTCCCTAAGCAAGCAGACCTTCTGGCTTTGCATAGTTGGGCTTGGAGGCTAACAAAAATGTGCTTTCTTAAGTGATTTTGGCTTATTTGGTTTCTGAGGTCATGGACATAATGGAAGAACACCTGCTCTCATCTTGCTTCAGCACTTAATCCCTGTCCCAGACGAGCCTAGAAGGGCATGGCACAGGAGGTGAAGAATAATATAAAAAATGGCTCAATAACTTCTTTGAGCATCCGGAAAGGTTCATGGATAATGATTTTATTCTCCCTGGCTTTCTCATATCCACACCAAGAAATAAGAGAGAAAGGCACTGTTTCTTCAACTGCTACATTCATTGCTTGACAGAATGAAAAATACATGAATAATCCAAGGTCTGTACAAGCAATATTGAAAACATTGGAAGACGTAGGTTTCTTGCATGCCTGATGCAAGCAGAGATTTCTGTTGGCAAATAATGCTTTGGCTTAAACTTTTCAAGGCTTGTTACCAGTCAGTACACATCTACTTGACATTTTGCTTTATTTTTCTTTCTAACTGAGCCTATTTTCCTTCAGGGTGGCCGGACACAGTGCATCCGAGAAGTCTGCCCCATTCTCTCATGTCCCCAGCACCTCAGTCACATTCCTGCTGGACAGTGTTGCCCCAAATGCTTAGGTGAGTGGTGTTTTTCCTGGGAATTTTGTAATTGATATGGTATGTTTCTGTGTAATAACTTTCATACCAGTATTTCACAACACAGTTATGGGAGAGAGTATGCTCAGAGGAGTTTATAATCTACAGGTACTGCGGGTCAGTGTGTAGGGTTGTGATGGGTGGTTTTAAGTAAGCAGCAGCAGAAGACCATTTGAGCATAGATCAGTTGGCTTGCTTAGGAACACAAATACAGAGATGCTTCCTGCCTTCATTACACATTGTAGAAAGGAGGTTGAGGACGGAGGAAGTGTTTTGCTGGAGTTTGCCACAAGAAAAAGGCCTCACCCTCTCATGTTTTTATTGAAGTGTGCATTTGCATTCTTGGTTTTGAGGAAATGCAGGTCAGAGGAAACTTCTGGACTGGAACTGCATTCTTATAAGCTGTTGTCAGAGAGGCCAAGGACCGAGGAGTCTGCCTCTTAAGGTGGAATCACAGTTTCAGACATGAATGTTTCAATTAACATCTTTCCAACACATTTTAAAGGAGAAGTCAGAGGCCCCTAAGAAGGGTTAGCTCTTCCAAGTCATGCCAAGGAAGGCAGTGACTTTTGAGAGTCCTCATTTTGCTCTTACCATGTCCACAGATCCCACAGGTTTATGTCCCTCAGCATGTGTCCCTCTGTTTCATAAACAAGGAGCACTTATATCCTACCAAGTAAATTAGCTTTAATTTTGTCTGTGAGGTTATAACTAGGTTTGGAAAAGTTTCGGAATTGATAACTCCCAGTTCTGTAACAGAAACTTGTCATTTTGACCATATCTTTACTACTATCCAAAGTCTATTTCCAAGGGTAGGTTAGGGATATAAAGAGGTCTGGCCTTGGAGGCAGCAAGCCATAGAGTACCAAGTTCTTATAATAGTTAACATTTTTGGCTGATTGAAATGAACCTGAATTTATCAATTTATTTATCTATTTATTTGTTAATTGAGAAGTGCTACAGATAAATACCAGCCTGGAACATTTAACTGCAGCACCAGAGAGTAATACAGTAGAGGAATGAAATGGAAAGGAGAGCAATCCAAACACCAAGCTTCTATTTTGACTGAGGACATTTTCCCTTTCCTTCTGTAAACTCACTTGTCCTCTCCATCCCATGCTTTTCCCAACTGAACCTTCCCCTCCTTGACCCAGGCATTCAAAACCCAGCTTTAGTTTTTGACTGCTTCATGGAGATTTTTCTACAGGTTCTTTTTTCCTCAGAAATGTCTGTAATAGATAATGTCTGTTCACAAAGAAGTGTTGGGAGTTTTTTACTGGAGGCAGAGCCAAGGGATGTGTAGCACACCACATGGCAGTTAGGAAAAAGAAACATTTTCAGGGATGCTGAGGCAAGGCTTTTAAAGTATCATGTGGAGGATTTCCCTGCAACTGAATTCCTGATACTCAGCATATATAACTTAGAAGAATGCAGTTGACTCTACTGGGACTTGAATTATTAGTTTAACTAGTGGTTGTGGGCCAGCAAAGCCAACCATTAAGCCAGTATCTTCATCACCACATCTTTTAGAAGTGGTAGCTCCTCTGTCAGTGGTTTTTTACCAACCATTTGAACAGGGTTGGCCACCCAGAATTGAGCTGGGTGGTTTGCAAGGCATGGGAAGAGGGTGTGAGAAAGAGCTGGACTTCACTTGCTGACATAAGTTATTTGATTGAAATCCTGGCCCCACATAGAGCAGTAGAAGTGTTGTTACAGGCAGGACTGTGGTCAGGCTTTGCCTGTAAGTGGTGCATGGTTGTAGAGCAGTTCCTTTTAGGGCTACTGAGCATCCTCAGCTGATTTTATGTCAGTTCTGTAAGAGGAATCAAGCGTTTTTTGAAGGATACACAGGCTGGTTATACAAGCATAGATTAACCCAAGGTAGCTAATTTGTAAAAGAAATGTTCAAATTGTGTCTAACTGAAAAATAGCAATTATTTCTTAACTTTTGTTTAATGGTTATTTTAACATCGGATTTGTAAAAACTCAAGGCTAATGCAGTCAGTTTTGCTGTGTGTTTATCCTTTGTTCACTTACATCTCAGAGGAAAATGGAACTTTTTTCTTTCATGCTGTCCTACATTTATCAATAATCGTTGAAAAGGGAAGGAATTGCAGAGTGCCAGCACATGGTCGTTTGAGAGCTAAAGTATTGGCTTAATACTTAGTGGCTTCTTGTATGCGCTTACAGTCGTCATTCCCTATCTCGGAATTGATGCCTATTTGATATCAGACCTCAGAAATGATAGGCCAGGAGACTGGCAGCCACTTTATTAAAGAGCTTACTAGTTGGCTTCCACCAAAAGTAAACAGGGGAAGATATGAAAAAAAAAGGAAGATAAGTATAGTGTTTTTGTAAAGAGCTCATGTTTATGTATCATAATGATTGCTTGTTTAAAATAACCTACTAGGAAACAAGCTGAGGAACAGGAGAAGCTTGGAGGACCACAGTGTGTTGCAACTTGAATGTGAAAGTGCTTGCAAGGTTGAAGGACTTTGGGAAGGATTTGATATTGATGCCGCCTTCCCTGTATAGTGCTCTTAACCCTGCCTCAGTCTCATGAAACACAAATGTTTTATGGGTTATGGAAATGAAATATCCTGTGTTGCCCTCATTCTGCTCATAAATGCTGCAAATGCTTGTATTTCTTGCAACCCTTATGAACATGGTACACTAAGCTATCTTAATGAGACCAGACAACACCTATGTTGGGGTTTTTTCATCTTTGTCACTGAGTTGATTTAGTTTGGCTGCTGTGAACCCCTGAAGTAGATATGCTAAAACCAGTTAAGGCTGCTTTATTTGATAAGTTATTGCATTACGTTAAAGACTGTTTAAACTAGTTTAAGTGTACCTACCCTAAGAATTTGCAGGGCTTACTTTTTATTCCTTTAGCTGCACTGTGCACTTTATGATGAGAAGGAGAAGAAAGATTTTTCCAATATAAACATGCCGTAAATCATATTTACATTCCCTCCCACAGCAGCATTTGTACAGATGAATGTATGCTAGAAGAACAGTGAACTGTTAAAAGCACATTTATTTTTTTTTTCACACCAAAATGGAAACACATAGCAAATGACACATTGCACATTAATTTGGTCTGGTGACAATAAGCCCTACTATTTTTGTTGACAATATGGCATATTTTCAACCACATTCTGTTTCTATTACTGTTTATTTATATTCAGGACAGAGGAAAGTGTTTGACCTCCCATTTGGAAGCTGTCTCTTTCACAGCAACGTGTATGATAATGGGTCTTCATTTATTTATGACAACTGCACAGTGTGTACATGCAAGGTAAGTCCTCAGTGCTTTGGTATTGCATGCCACTGGTCGTCTGGCGTGGCAGTAATTTGTAGGGCTGTGGAATTATAAGCCCTACTACTAATACTGTTCTTTGGCATCTTGTGTGGTCCCTGAGAATCTGATCTGAAGAGCATTGCAGTTGTGCTACGAAAGTCTAAAAAGCTACTGACTGCCTCAGCTGAGACATGTTGCCTGATGCTGCATGCTCCAAAATGGAGTTGCTTCAGGTTATGCGATCCACTTCGAGTTTTCATTAGAGAAGAAGAGATGTTTCTGAATGGCAAATTACCATATATTTGCTGAAGGACAGTGATTTTTTTCAGCTCCTTTAACATGAACTGTGACCACTAGCACTTCTGCATCAAGGTAAAAAGCATGAAAGTGTCACCAAATCAGTAAGATTTTGCAGGTCAGCAGAAGGAGAATTTGGGTTTCAGCTTCACAGGCCACCAAAGGGCCCCTTAATCCAGTAAATCATTTTTATTTTCTCCAACCTGACCTATTCAAAGCATTTGGACTGTAGTGAGGGTGGATGCATGACTGAGTGAGCAGAAATGTTACAGTAAGGACACACAGGAGCACAAACATCATGTGATGATTTCATTATTTCCTTTTGTCCTTTTACCTAGGATTCAACAGTGATATGTAAGAAGAGGTGCTTACTTCCTGGTGAATGCAATAAAAACAAAGACCACTGCTGCAAGGAGTGTGTCTCGTATCTCTCTCCTGAGGAAGTGAGTGTGTGCAAGTTTGGCAACAAGATCTTCCAGGTAAATATTCAGGTGTGGCTCAAGAATAGATGTCATTGTAAGAGCAGAGCTTTGCAGAGCTTTCCATCTGCAATTTTTCTTCTGAGTTTGTGTAAATTCTGCCAATATACAGCAGTTAAAGATTAGTTCCTCCTTGGTGAGACATGTCTTCCTCCCTGTATGCAAAGATTCAAGTTGCTGTCTCGTGACAGGTAATACATTTTTTGTAAGAAACAGCAGTGCTCTGCTTTCCCACTGATATTTATGGAGCAGATACTCCAAGTGCTGTGTAGGCTTTAGCTGCTGAGCTGAAGAGTCTCTTCCATAGCTGAGCTAATAGGAGCTTTGCAAAGTTTGTCTTGGCTGAGTTATTCATCTTGATTTACTACATTTCAAGTCTCTGCTAAGGACAGCACCCCTGACATCTTATACTGGGATAGCCATAATTGTTACCTACTGCATTCTTGCTCAGTGTTTTCATCAATCTTCTATTGATGAGACCCTGTTAGGTTTTCCAAGTGATGTGCCTTTTTTTACAGTGTCAGAAGAAGATTCTGTCACCTCATGAGCCATCTGTGAATTACGAGACTCTTGAATCAGATCAAATGTAAAATCTTTGTGAATACTTGGTTTGCTCAGCCAGAGTTACTTCCCAATTATTCCATCTTTTGTGTACCTAGCTAAAGTGTTTATTCTGGAAATTACATGTGAACCTACTGTATCCTGAGACTATACACCATGTGATTGGCGCTTTCACACTGGTGCTATTGTGCTTCAGGAACACATGCCTTCTTCTTAGGCACCCAACTAAAATATCCTGCTTCTTGTGAAGATTTTATTATATTACCAAGTATTATATGGAGTGAGAAAAAATAACGAGACAGTCCACCAATTTCTGGCCTTGTGAGCAAAAAGGTAAATCCAGCATTGCTCTGTTGAGGTTAATGGTCTAACACAAGTAGAATGGGCACAGCGAATGTGTTTTTGCATGCCCATGTAAAACCAGCTGTGATATATTCTGGTACCCCAGCAGATGCTTGGAGAGCAGTCATTAGTGGCCCACAAGAGCATGTGCTGCATCAGGAACATTAGGCAATGGTAGCATGGCCTGGAAACAAAAGACAGGAGAGAGCCAGCCTTTGACCAGGGATGCTGTGCTGAATAAGTTAGGCTCCTTGGCATTTCTGATTTAGTCTGTTTTCCACTCTGGTCAAAACATCATGTCGAGGTGGGCACATAATTGTTCACAGCTGTCTGGTTGGACTGGCTGTTCCTGTCAGATCTATCTTCACCCTTCCTTCACAGCAGCCCTGTAAACAGAAAACAGGCACATTTTGGCTCTAAGCAGGCTAGCACAAGACTGTAAGTGGGTGAGACAGAATGTTTTAGGAACCACATCTGGCAAATACAACACTGTGTATAGGGAACCAGGGCAGTTCCGCAGTCATTTCCAAGTAAGTGGGGACAAGATCATGAGGCATATTTTGCTCTGAACTTAAGACTTTGAGAACTATACACAGACTGTCTTACCTGCTCTGAATGTGAGAAATTCAGCACTGTATCTCTTCTAAGCATTCTCAGATGTTTAGCAGATCAAGTATCTGTGAAAGTGCTGTAAGTAATCTAAATAAGGATTCATTATTCGACCAGTCCTGCCCTAAACCAAAATGATGCTGCATCTGGGAATAAATTCACTATATGCTGACATCTTAATCGAATGCTTTCACGTGCAACAACTTAAAGGCGTCACTCAACCCAGTGAATCAGGTTTTTCTCATTATGTGAGCTTAAATGAAAATTGGTGGTAGGTGTGATCACAGCTCAGGCACACAGTGGAGAGAAAACAATGCAGATAAGCAGGACACTGATGAAAAAATGCAAATGTGATTTTGTTGCCCTTGGAAAAATGGATTTCTGACCTAGAGGTCCAAAGAGAAGAAAACCCTTCTGAATGTGAACTTTGTCTTGAATCTGACTGGTCATGGACAGACACCTCAAAATAATTTAGGCTAAACAATGACACAGTGCCAAAAGGAAAAGTCATCCTTTCTTGTGCAATGATACATTGCTGAAATAGCTTCCTGCTGCCACCCCAGCTGATACTGTATCATGTTGCCTCTTGCAGGATGGAGAGATGTGGTCCTCTGTGAACTGCACCATCTGTGCTTGTGTAAAAGGCAAGACGGAGTGTCGCAAGAAGCAGTGCATTCCAGTCAGCAGCTGTCCTCATGTGAGTTTTTTAAGAGAACAGAGCTTTCTTCTCTTTTCTTTCTCCACCATTGTCCTTTTCAGTGTTCCTTGGTAGTGTATGCATGGCAGTGGGGCATGCAGATTGGAAAAAAGGGATCATCTGGCATATTCATTTAGACAGGCGTTCCCCAAGTGTGCTACTGCTACCCTGAATATGGGCTTCCTGACTCTGTCCTTGCATTGAAGGCTCTGTGCTACTTTTCTCTTCCTCTCTTTAACTTCCTCTGTCCTGAGTATCTGGACTAGAACATCTCTTTCACATATATTCAGTAGCTTCATAGGGTGGTGAGATGACTATGATAATATTTCAAGAGCATGCCTACTGTCAAGGCAGGACACAGGAGGTTGTTGGTCTTGCATTTTTCAATGCATATGAGGCTTAATACTTGGTTGAAAATGTAAATTAGGCAAAGCAAAGCATATTATTTCAGTCATGTGGTGCCGCTTTCTCTTAACGTTGCAGCCTGAATATTTTCTATTTGGAAGTCTGAAGTGAACCCAGAAAGTGGTGTAATTGTAACTTTACTGTATGGCTTCAAAAATTAGCATTACTTGAAACCTTTAGCTCAGGACAGCCCTTATTTCTTGGGTTGCTGTCACTGACAAATCATTCTGTTTTAATGGCCCAAGCTTTCAGAAGAGGGAGCACTAAATAGCACCTCGTGTAGGGGCAGATCTTTGAACAGAACTGCAGAACAGAGAGCCAAGTCGTTAGCATTGCACCTTCTCAGTGTTTCCTTCTCCATCCTGGAAGCCAGTCGGGAAAATATGAGTCATAGACACCTAGGTATAAAATTTTCAATGACAAACTCTAGTTTGTCAAGTTTTATATGTGTAAACTTTTGAGAGCCAGAAGCAGTGGTAGAATAGAGAGCCTGTACCTTGGCTCTCCCTGTTCTGCTGTGACAGTGCTTGCATTCTCAGAAGAGGGGACATCCTTTTCCTGTCACTCACTGCAGAGGGCAGGTCTCCTGTTAATGTACATCGTGTGAGATGCTGCATACATTGTAGGAAGCATGAACAGATGCAGCTGCTCTTCTGGGAACCTGATGTGGCTCATGGCAATCAGGCCATTCACAACATAAGCAGGAGGTGAGAGCCTGGACTCTTCAGGGCTTTTCAAATTCTTTGTTGGCTGAGAACCTGACACACACTGCATCTCATTTACATTTACTTGTGCTGATGCATTTCAAATGTTTAAGCTGCTTCTGAGATCAAATAACTAATATGGTTTAATATAGATCTAAAGTGAAATACACCACTTCAGCAGTACCCAGATACACATTTGAGCATTGAGGTGATCAGTTGAAGAAGAAGAAAATGAGCATAGTGGTGGGTCATAGTGGTCACCATCCACAGTCCTGTGGCAGCATAACTAAGTTGATCAGCACTGCTACATCATCTGCTTCAAGGCTAATGTGAAATCATAAACTGCCTTAGACCGCTAAGTTGAGTCCTCAGACTCCTGCTCTCAGTTCCTTAGGGCAGAAAAGACCAGCTTCGTCACCCTACAGCACCATTACCTCCAGTCTAACCAGTCAGCCTGCTGCCTGCCTTAAAATGGAGCCTACAGCAAGCTGCGTGCAAACTCATCCTCCTCCACAGGTACATCACGCTTCTGCTCTTCCAAGCTAAATTGGAAGGACAAGTAGGAGAAAGAATGTAAATTCTAGAGTGAGATTTATTTTCCTATTCCAAGTGGGTTTCAAGTAATTTTAAAGCAAATAATGTATGCTAATGCATTTAAATCTTCTACTTTTCATCTCTCCTCCACTCTCTTTGATGAGATACTCTGTCACAAATGCAGAAACATTAATTAAACACACCACATTATTCAAGATAAATATATATTAGTAATACTTGAAGTCTGGATATCATGAACAGAGTTATGCTGCTGTCTCTGCAAACTTCAGGGGTGTGAACTCCATTTCTTCCCTTTCTTCACAACATTTCTGGCAGTAAGCAGTCTCTGCTGACTATTGAAGACTGCTGTGGAATAAAAGGCTGTTTAGTGTCCCTTAGGGTGTCAGGCCACATAAAGTTATCTCATTAAAACTGTGTTACGATACACACAACTGAGTGTGAAAAGATTGGAGATTCACAAGGAACCTATAATATTATTCCTTGACTTAAAAGGTTTACCATGCTTCTTAATACTCCTTGCATGGTTTTGTGCAGGGGTTTTTGTGATGAAATATTGTTTATCAATGTAGATTTTGGCCAATTATTCCTCTAAAGGATGGGTTTCAAAGTGGTAATTCTGCTGAAATTTCCAGTACCTTGAAACCATTTGTATTATTCAATGTGTTTGTGGTGGGCTGATGTATTTTTGAAGACTCTTCCTGACATTTTTTTCATTTTGCTCATAGATTTAGGCACATTTTTCTGTTTCTCTTATTCTTTTTTGGAGCATTTAATCCTGTATCAGTACTTACAAGAAGGGTCTTCCTCAGCTTCTTCTCATCTGCAGCAGAGGTAATACATCTGACAAATTCAATCCCTCCTGTCATAGTGAAACACTAGAACTCCTTGGGTTTCTAGTGAGCCTTGTGGCTTGTGGTTTCTGTTTCTTACTTTCTGACCACTGGCTCCATGGATTCACTCCATAGATATTCCCTCTCTGTCACCTGGAGTGTCAGCCTGCAAGGTGAAGTATGCGCTGGCTTCCATCCAGGGAAAGCTATTAAGCATGTGTCCAGCCCTGCTGAAGTTAGTAGGCCCTCTGTATGAGATTAAGCTTAAACACATGCTTAAATACTTTATAGGAAGGGAGTAATCTCAACACTTGGTAAGACTGTTTCAAAGACCCTTTAGACCTTTTCTTACCTAATTGGCTATTCACTTACCCTAGCCCAGCTCTAGCCTCTTTCTTGCCTTGTGCCAACTCCTTTCCCATTACCCATCCTAATCATTTTTCACCTTACCTCCTGTCCTTACACCTTTGCATTCCCCACTACCTCTGTAAGCCTATGGTAATGGTGGTTGTGGACATTGTCTATTTTTGTCCTGCTAGAGGAGAGCCTGGTGAGTTCTACAGCATCCAGCCTTTTCTGTGCTCCAAGGCTGTGCAAAAGTTAATAGAATTAAATCCATGGCATGTGAAGACATTTGCAGAGTTTGATTCTGCGGGTGAATTTTGAACCCGTGAACTCCAAGTGAGTTGAAAATTTATTCAGAACACGTTCTCCCATCTCTAGCACAGACTGCATTTAATGTTAGACACATCTGTTATTATTACAAACAAAAAGTTGCTGTTTTTACTGGAGTGCCAAATGAGGCACAAAAAAACAACAGCTGTTGCTATTGCACAACCAAACAGCCCCCTTCCCCCTGCAATTAGTCTTGCCTTAAAAAAATAGAAAATAAAAACCTCAGACATAAAATTGAAAACCTCATAAAAAAAAAAAGAAAAATCCCAGAAAATAGACAGACTTAAATGTGGTCTGCTTATAAATATTCATAGGGAAAAATGGGATCACATCACTTAGCCCACTCCTAAGGGAGCCCTCAATGCTAACGAACTCTTGCAGCACATGTTAGCAATAATGGGTTTCCTTATTCTACAAGACAAAAACAGGATCTTGGGCCAACATGGTGGCTCAAGTAACCAGCCTCAGCAGGCTGCCTTGGAGATTCCAATTTCACTTGAATTCTTGCCACTTCCAGTTTGGCTGATGATTTCAACTCTTTTATTGAAACAGAGAGGTGAGGCAGTGCAGTGTGTGGCATTCAGCTGCATGTCTTCCCTTCGTACAAATACGTGTTGCCAAGCTCCCTGTTTCTGTGCAGTTTTAGCTGTTCCTCCTTTAAGGGGTTTTGTCCTAGCAGGTGCTTTAAGATGCTTCTCCTGGTTAGCAGCCTGGTCCTCAGCTGTTCTCTTTGCTCTGGTGGTCACACAAACATCAAGGCATTGCCCACACTGCCAGAGAAACTCTTGATCCAGCCTTTGTCTCAAGTCCAGACGTACCTCAAGTCTGTTCACATGCAGTTGCACATTCAAAGGCAAGCTTACACGGAACTTCCGTGCCTTGTGGATGATAAGCCCAAGCATGCTCATCACCAAGCTCTCATTCATGGCATATGGGTATGTCAAGCGTGAGCAGGACAAAGCATGCTCTGCTCTGGTCTGCAGCAGATACTTCGAGTTCATTTTTTCCCATGCACACTGTCAAAGCTTAGCAGTCCTGTAGGCAGAAAGCAAGGCAGATATCAATAGAGCCTGCTGCCTGTGCCCCCCTCCCTGCTTTCTGCATAGATCTTACTTCCTGTAAGGTCTTAACTTCTTACTGCCACTTACTTCTTACCTGTTTTCACAAGCTTTTCTGTGCTGGTGAGTGGGCAGAATAGCACAGCTTGCTCTTGTTGGCCATTCCTTGCTCACCTGCTTGGTGGGGAGCAGGAGCAGTGGTCCCACAGAGATGGTTTACTCTGTAGTCAAATACTGCTGGAGCAAAGGCTCTGCGCTGGGGAGCAGCACAGCTCCATATGCCTCTGCCTTCCCTGTATGGGAATGAGGGTGAGCTCCAATATCACCGTAAGTTCTGCTATAACCCATGCCAGTTTTTGCTTGGAAAAACACATCATTCAGTCTGAAATTTTCCAGGCTTATCCTCTAGCTTGATGGTTAGCTTTAGGGAATTTCAGTAAAATCAGATAGAACATCTTTTCATTTAATGAAAACTCAAAAGGAGGGCGAATGTACATATGCAGAGGCTGCTTCTAACCAGCCTTGTATAAGACTCAATCATAAATAAAATTGACCTGGCAGAGTGGTAAATAAAGACTGAACCTTTTTTTCCATATTACTGTGACTAGACCAAATTGTTGGCTTTTAGATGGATGTGTGCCCATTTACTTCACTGGGGAGACTGGTCCATGATTGGTAATACGATTTGGTGAGAGATACCACAAGATTAAGCCGTGAAAGAAATCTGACCAAACTAGATCTCTAGCAGTGCCCCTTTCCCTTTCCTTTCCTTTCCTTTCCTTTCCTTTCCTTTCCTTTCCTTTCCTTTCCTTTCCTTTCCTTTCCTTTCCTTTCCTTTCCTTTCCTTTCCTTTCCTTTCCTTTCCTTTCCTTTCCTTTCCTTTCCTTTCCTTTCCTTTCCTTTCCTTTCCTTTCCTTTCCTTTCCTTTCCTTTCCTTTCCTTTCCTTTCCTTTCCTTTCCTTTCCTTTCCTTCCTTTATTTCCCTTTCCCTTTCCCTTTCCCTTTCCCTTTCCCTTTCCCTTTCCCTTTCCTTTCCTTTCGTGGAGAAATGAAAGATGTGGGGGGGAATGTGGGAATGGGTGTGGACCAGATTGCTTCTGTGTGGCTACTAAAAGGCTGTGCATAAGAAATACATATACTCTGGGAGGTGGGGGAAAAAGGGAGTGATTTTGTTAACCCAATGACTAGTCTGCTTTAGGTATCTGTGAATGCATGAGTCCAAAATTCTCTCACACTCTCTCTAAAGAGAAAAGTGGTAACAGAGAACCCTTTTAGTATTTAATTTCTTATAAGACTGCCAGGAAGCTCTTTGAATAGTTCTGTCTGTTTTTAGCACCTGATATTTGAATCTGTAACCAGGGCATTGAGTTCAAACACAACTTGAACTATTTTCAAAGGCTTATCCAGCCTTACAACATGACACAGTCATTGCTCCAAAACCTCTTTCATTAAATCAGCCTGTCTTTCTCCCAATTAGGGTAAAATCCTGAACAGGAAAGGATGCTGTCCTATTTGCACTGAAAGTAAGTTCTTTCTTCGCATTCTTTGAATTCTTTTTTATTCTTTCAGAGAAAATAAATATAGTAGAAGTATGTTTGCTTTTCTGCCTTCGTTTTAGAGGTGGCTAAAGGGCATGTGATTATTGCTGGCGACAGATTTTGCCTCCTATGAATCTGTAAATTTAAGCTAAAATGCCTGGGTATTTTATTGTATTTTTTTCCAAATGACACCCTTTTGGTCAAATCTGAGGTGCTGCTTTTTTAAGGATATAGTTGGCCGGTGAAATTTGTAGGTAATAAAATAAGCAAATTAATAGAGTTGTAGCTTTTAGGACTGGGTGCCTTTTATCCTTGTATATAACAGCCCAGCTATGTGTATGTATAATCCAACGCCTTTGCAGATGATTTATGAGAGTGAAAGGAAGGTGTGCAGAAATCTGAGACACAGTCTGGGGCAGCGGTGGAAAGTACAATAGAAAGCTAACCTTGTGTTTGTATGATGTTTAGCCTCAACCATGACCTTTTTATCCCTTTTCACTTCATGAATGATCATCATATGATATCACTTGTGTTCTCTCCTACTCAGCAAAGCACTTAGACAAACACTTATTTTTAAGCTTGTCTTGTTTAAGTCAACAGGGAGACCTGTCTTCACCGAAGTTAACAGAATACAATTATGTATTTCCTTCAGGACATGTTTAAGTACTTTTCCAAATAGGGACATACTGCTAAAATGGGGGTTTATGATTTATAGGAAGGCTTCTGAAAGAAGGAACAGGTTTTTAAGAAGAGTATTTCCTATTCTTCTGGCTAAAATCACATTGAATTTGCTGATCAACTCAACTCTGGATGCTCTTGAATTGCATGAATTCCATACGCTAAATACCTGTTTTTCCACTCTACAGCTGAATTATGTTGAAATGTGTAACTTGTGATAAAATAAACTTAGCTTGCAAGTCTTCAGTATCAAAACAAAATTCAATACAAGTGGCAACCTCAGAAACACTTGAAATAATACTAAGCAGAGGGAGAAATGAAAGAGGATTCAACTGACCAGCTGATTTCATGTTGGCTCAGTTTCCATGGAGGAGAAATTCATATAGACCTCTGCTCGAACATGACATGTCATTAATGTCATGAATTTATTGATCTCTGTCTTGCCTCTCTCTGTTCTTATGTTTCAGTCTTATTTAACCTTTCTCATGTTCTTTTGTAACGTGAGAGTGGGAGGAAAATAGTGGGGCCAGCCATTCCCTCACAACACTGAAGACCCTCTACTGTAAGGTCTTAAAAGGAAGACGGTCACTTCTTCCCTTGATAATATAAGGGAATGGTCATGGCTACAAGACGTGAAATTAAGGGCAGACTGCTGTTGCTTGTCCTCCTGCCATGAAGATCTGTAAAGAGTTTGGCTTCATCTTGCTAGTGAAGGTACTCTTCCCAGAAGCCTTCAGGATAACCAACTGGCTAGACATGAGGCTGGGAGGCTCACTGCACTGTCCCACAGCGGCACGCTTCTCTGTTGCACATGAAACAGAGAGGTCCTCTTTTTTGGAGAGGTGTCTCACTAGGGACCCATCTAGTGTTTGGAGGCGAGTTGATGCTGAGCTGATTCTAAGCTACTGTGATTAAAAAGCCATTCCCAGCTTTTATCAGATAATGTAATCAAAGAGCTTAAATACCCATTGTTGTACAGCAGTGGTGGCTGCCACTAACTGTTTTAACATCCATGTTTTAACAGTTGCCATTTGTAGGGAAATAATTCCACCTTTGTGAGGGAACTGCTGTAAATCTCATCAGAAGACGGGCATAAGGCATAAGGATTTCAGTGATGATCACCATCTCGGATAATAATTAGAAACTTTGCTAGTTCATCCAGTTTCTGTTGAGCTAAGATGTATATGCACAGCCCTTTCTCTCACCCACCCACTCATGTTGATCCTCTCTCCACGTATTAACACACCAAACATTTCTGGCGGTCCAGCAGATATTAATTTTCCAAAGTAAAAACAACATAGGGAGGTACAAGAACATACTGTACACAGGAGAGCTTTGAGTACAGTTTAAATGCAGCCAATTTCTGTGAAGTGGGTAAAAAACAGTGGCGTTGTTAAAGCATACACTTTAAGCTGAAAAAAAGAACCCTAAAAAAATCAAAGGATTATTTTCAAAGCAGGTGAGAAGATAGAAGCAGAGAGAAAAAGTACCTCATCTCCTAAAGGGTTGGAGAGTCTCTTTTGTCTACTGTTGCCCAAGTTAACTATGGTTAGTTTTGGCATGTTGCTGTTTAAGCTCCACGGCTGGCGTGCAGTTATCACTAATTAAACACAGTGGTCATACCAGTGGAAAATTCAACAGTTTAGTTTATGCTGCTGTAAAAGTGTAATGAAATGTACTCTTTTGGGCTTGATTTAGAGAAATCACCACTGACGTCAATTCCATAAATTAGTAATCCTATGTTAGACCGAGGTCATTTTCATATTAAAAAAAGAAAATACTAAACCTGAGTTCAAATAACATGAACAGACTGCTCTCAACTCCAGACAAAGATGGGAATTTGCAGGGGAAGTTAAATCTTTGTTCTTGACAAAGAAGAATTGATAGATCTTGCTGGAATTACAGCATGCAGTACGAAAGATTCCTCCTGCAACCGTATAGATATATTTTACTCATGATCAATAATCTTAACACTATCTTACCTAAGACATTGTGAGGCTTTATGGATGAAGTTCTTCCCAAGTGGACTGCAGTCATATAAGTCTAGCAGTACATTAAATTTGTAGTAAAGGCCTCTTTTGAGGCAGAAAATGTCATTTGTCACAAATCATTCTGCAGCTCTTTTACTTGATGAAATGACCAGTGGAGCTAAACCAAACTCACTTGGATCCAGCCTTAGGAGTAAAATTTTGGTCCTTTCACCTGGTCCTGCATCTTTTTTATGTGTTTTTGTAGAAATAAATATTCTTCAAAGCAAAAAAAAAAATAAAAAAATAAATCCCAACAAAACCAACAGTAATGTGGGGTTATGCATGGTGAGTACCTGTGAGAGCAGGCAATAGGACTAAAGGACAACATAGGCCCGTCCTAGTTCTTTTTCTTGTGTTATTTCCTTGCCCTGGAGATATCCATCAGCAAAAAGACTGCAATTGTTTATTCATCCTGGAACGCTGTTCATGATTTACCTTTTCAGGCATTTCAGCTCTGATGGTGTACTGTATAAATATGTATTTTGACAAATTGGAATAGCTATTTTATTTATGAAATAGACCATAAAGACTCCTGCGGAGTTTTTGACACCACACCTTGTAATGTGTATTATATCAAGCTGCACTATGCAGCAGTTATGAGGAAAGTACTCTCTGGCTATGCATTTTTTACAGAAAAGCTAATGAAATTCTATTATGCGTGTTCTGTAGCTAGTTTTCAAAAGTTAATAATGTGTTCTGTTTGATTTAGGGCTTAATTCAGCACATGGGCTAATTGCATTCAAAATTTCATTTTATTTTAAAAAAGCTGGGACCTTTTTGAGTTATAGATGTGCAACCAGAACACCCTTAACTGGTAAACTTGTATTTTTTCCTCCCTCTCCTTACTTAGAAAGTGTCCAAACCAATTTTAGTTATAATTTAAAGCATATTTTTCTTGGCCACTCTTAACTACCTACAAGCCCAGAAGAGTGTGACCAGACATCTGGACATCTTGGACTTCAATTGACTGCTCTGATCTCCTGAAAAAATAAAACAAGCCATTCCATGAGCACCAGAGCTAACAGAACCTGGTTTCCTATGGATTTGTGTCCCATTTCCTTTATATCCCAACAAATAATAAACCCAGCTAGAGACAATATATCCTGTGGCTGCTCTGGAGCTACAAGTGTGCTAATTGCCCAGCCAATATGCTTACGCTCTCTGGCTGGTCAGGATGTGTGTGCTGACTGTCTGTCTGGCCTGCACCATGCAGTATATATATCTCCTCTTTCTAGAAAGGCTAATACCATCTGGGGGAGGGGGGGGCATTGGGTGAAAGGCAGAAAGGTACTTTTTGGCAGTCACTTCTTTCAATAAGTGGTTCTTACCTTTACTGGGCTTCCTACTTATTAGAAATAAGTTGTCTTTCAGGCTTTTATCCCTCCATGTTGGCCAAAACAGGTAGTGATTTCACAAAGATTTTTGGGAAATGCTAAAATGTTCTTTTCCTTTCTGTTGGTTTTTTTCAGCTTCCTTTTTTTGTACAGATAAATGTGCTTTCCAAACTGGTCTACTTTGCCCACAGTTACCTTCCCTGTTACCTTTTCTAATGAAAGTTACTATTTCATTTGAATTGGGTGCATGATTTGTAATGCAAGGAAAACGTGCCAATAGTTCTACAGCATTCAGTTTAGCACCTAAATACTATTATTATTAGTTTGTAAGTAAGCTGCAAAGCCTTAGGGTGGGAGCTGAGCATACTGCATGAATCACAGATGTAGTTTACGATTGTCAAATGTAAAAGCGTGAAGTCCATATTTAGTTGCTTAAAAAACAAATGTGAAAACTGCTGAGCTCCCAGAAGTGTTTATGAAAGCCAGGAGTTTGCAATAGTGATTTGGGAACCTAAATGTAGGATTTCCAAAAGAGGTTTAGAGACGTTTGCAGCCAGCTCCCAATAATGTTTAATCGGAGCCGAGTGCCTAAGGTGCTTTGAAAATCACAGCCTTCTGAACATAGCTCTGAGGCCCTCCTTTGAACAATCTCTGTTATTCAGGGGCAAAGCGGGAAGGGGTATATTTGCCTTCATGTGCATGTGTAGATGAGCAAATGAAGTCATAAAAGAGCATGAATGCCAGGCTCAGAACAAGAAAGAGGCAATGGTTCTTCATGCATTTTGCCCAAGGATATTATGGCTACTCAAACCAGTTTTGCATTGAAGGGGAGACTGAATAAGTTCACAGAAAGGAAGTCTATCAAAGGTTACTAAATAAAGAGAAGTCATGTTTAGCTCAGGAAGTCCCTAAGCTAAACATAGGTAGAGGCTGCAGAGCCTTAAGGGGAAGTGTCATATGTAATTGCCCTTTTCTAACTCTGCCCTAGAGAGATGATAGATGCAAGGAGTATCCACAATAAGCCGGGAACAATTTCCTGTAGGGAAAAAAGGGAAGGATCTTCACTCATGGCCCTGTGCCTTGTTAGCACAAGCTACTAAAATTCATACTCCAGTTTTGGGGAATGTACCTTTGGTAATGAAGCAATATCTCTCCATCCATTATGTCCCAACAGAGGAGCAAGTCACATATGCTCCTAACTAGAGAATGGGTGCTTACAATAGATTCCAGAACCAGCCAAGCAGAAAGACTGGTTTGTTTCAAAAGGGGAAAAAAAAGAAAGAAAAAATAATAAAGCAAACCGTAAAACATGATGTGATTGAAACTCTCCCAAAAGGAAATAAACAGCAGTCCAAAACCTAAAAATGGCAGGAACTCCTTTCATGTTGCTTGTCTTGTTACACCCGGTATTTAAGGTTTATTTCTAGGCCAACCAATTCTTCTTCCTGGCAATGCCTGAGTTATCACACACACTCTTGCAGAGTGTGGATTTTTTGTTTTCATTTTAAATTCATAATTTTAGCAAACCTTTCAAGAATGTTTTACACAGTGATATCAGAGAATCAATTTTTTAGGCTGGTTTTAGGTAGATTTTCCCTCCTCCATTTCCTTGGTTATTAAAGAAAACAGTGAAATTTGGATCAGACATTCAGCTCTCTGGTCCAAAATACATTCTTTTTTATTTTAACTGCACTGCATCAAGTTGACGTATAACGTGACGTGATGTAACATAACATAAACCAACATTACTCTGCATAACACATTAGAAATTAAAAACAAATATTTCCTTTGGATCCCATTGGTACTATCAGTTTTACCTGCACATCTCTAAATTATGTTTACTCCTCTCATGTCTTGCCTTTTAGCCCCTTGCTTAGGTGAAGAAGCAGCCTTCCCCTCCAGATAAGTTAGTTAATAAGATGTGTAACATGTTATTGGCCTGTAGAAATGCAGACAAAAACCAGTTCTCTCCTCTGAAATCTTCAGTGATCCTGGGGCTGGGTTTTTTTGCTGATAAGTTGTCATGTCTAAAGAAAAACTAAAGCCTGAAAAAATGAAATAAAATCTGAGCAGGTAATAAAATGTATCTTCATATTCATTGTACAGATAATTATTTGATGTAAGGAAATTAGAAACATGTGAGTATGATTTAGTAACTGTGAAGTCAGATGGTCTCTATATAAAATCTGTGGATTCTTTTCCCATAGGTATAAAGGATCAATTAATCTTTTTATGGACTTTGGGAAACAGTTCTTGATATTCTCATTGGTATCAATGAGGAAAACGAGACTCATTTACTCATGGTTTAAAAGTACACTTTTATCTAAGTGCCTTGGTTTTCAGGCTCTGCTTAAAGTCCATTGGGCCTGATTTCCAGAGGTCTTGGTGAGATGTGGTTCTTTTTGACTTGTAATGGAGCTGTCAACATTATGTCCTGTGTTGGTCCCTAGTTTGCAGGCATAGCGGAGAAGCATAATAATGATGCTGAGAATAGTTACTGGCTTAGCTAAAGAAGCATGCATGTTGCAAGTTAGGGATGAAGTGCAGATTTCCCAGGCATCAGCTCTGTGATGGTACTGAGGGACAGTGATGGCAGTGAAGTACACTGAGGTGAGACTTTAGGAAGACCTAACTTGCAATCAGGGCAGCTGAGCACTGCAACTGGTTTCTGGAGGAGGCTGTGGAGTTGCTGTTACTACTGCTCTTTAAGAGCAGATTGGATAAACATGTGCCAGGAATAAACAGGTACAGGTGATTCTGCATTGCACCTGGAGAAGGGAAAGGTCATTTCTCCAGGGGTCCCCTTCAGCCCCATTTTCTGTGTCTCCATGTAGGTATCCTTGGATGTTCTTTAACTACAGCTAGAAAAACATGCCTGAAGCATCACAGCTTCTGTAGCATAGCATACTGCCTAGGCTGAAAAACCACGATGAGGAATGTGTATTGCATAGTCACAGCTGCACTGCACTCCACTGAAGGAATTCCCTGCCTCTTCTCAGTATCATCCATGTCTCCTTTTCTGTAGGTTTGAATCTGCTATTAATGGGCTTATTTTTTTTCAGTGAACAAATTGTATTTTTTTTTTTGATAGATGCTATTCGCATTATTGAGTCTAGTTTTGTTACTGCACAAAGTCCTTCCCCTAAAGCAGGCATTATCTTTCAAAAGCAGTCTCAGCCCGTGGGTATCCAGCTGGCAATAGCAATGTGCATTTCTCTGCCTTTTGAGACTCCTTCTTCCAGGAACAGCAGAAAGGAGATGTGGTTAGGACCTGTTGTTATGCCAGAAGGCTGCAATGCAAATAAATCTGCTGCTGTCTTTGATTGTGAGGCAGTTCAGTCAATTGTTGGGTGACTGCAGGGTAACTCAGCATTGTTGACATGAGTTTGGAGATGTTCTGCTTTTAAGCTGTGGCTTCTCCAACCAGTGTATGGATGCAAACATCAATAAGAAATCTCCTGCTTTGCATGATGCAGAAAGATTGGTAGACATACCAGCCCTTAAATAGGCATTGCATCATGTTAGTCATGTAATACAGACTTCTAATTGGTAACGTGGTGACAATAACTACTACAAGTCAGTTGTGTATAAACAACACCTATGATAGCAGAATAAAGTTTCTGTTTCTACAGATAATGTGGGGAAAATGTATACATGAACAATACAGTTTATAAATGTACATTTTTTTATTGGTGTGCCTATATAAAATATGGACAGTACCAGGTCCTGGTGAAGTTGTCTGATGACTTTTAATTTCACGGGATCATCCTTGCCTTACTGGGACTTTAGAATTAGCCTCAAAAATACACAGGTGATGTTTTGAATTCTGCTTCTATTAGTGGATTGGGCTTTGCTCCCACAATACAACTTAAGAGTGGGAGCTCATCCCAGGCGAATTTAACTGTCTGAGAGGAATGACTATAGTCTTGGATACTTGTTTGCTCTTCCAGAGCTGGCTGCAAAGAGAAAGGCTCCTCCAGAGAGTAATTCCCCATGTATTAAAAGAGATGTCTAAAGCTGGTGAGATGAAAGACTTTTTAGGCATGTCTTTTCTTCTCTCAGTGAGAGGGAATCACTTAGACTAGACATTTCATGTCTGGAAAGCTGAAGGTTAGGTGGGAAGGCTCCCATCACACATCTCCAGAGGCGTATGGTCTCTGCAAACCAGGGCTGTGCCTGGTCTGATACCATGAGTGTGGCTTGTATTTTCCAGAAATGAAATAAAGTAAAATATTTCACAGGCTTTGTAATAAGCTAAACTGTTCACGTGATACATGATGTTCAAGGGGCAAATGTGTAGGTTCGAAGATGTGTCCTTGGCTCCTAGCTACAGGTTAGCCTTCCTATGCTGCCCCAAGAATCAATTGGCCTTTGGTTCCCCACCCACTTTGGAAAGACATCTACTAAAGCCATGAAGCCTCTCTTTTTCAAACATATATATTCCTAGTGGGCATCAGCCCAATGTGCCCTGTAGGACAGATAGACTAGGTGAGAGCAGCATCCTCTAAGTTCTTATCAACTGCTTTTCTTAGACTTGGATTGATCCTGATACGGCGCTTTTGTTTCTCACTCACCTGCAGAGCCTGGCGTTTGCACTGTATTTGGAGACCCTCACTACAACACTTTTGATGGACGGACATTTAACTTTCAGGGAACATGTCAGTACGTTTTGACGAAAGACTGCTCCTCCTCTGCCTCGCCCTTTCAGGTGCTGGTAAAAAACGATGCCCGGCGGACCCGTTCTTTCTCCTGGACAAAGTCAGTGGACCTTATGTTGGGCAGAAGCACTATCAGCCTCCAGCAGCACCTCACAGTGAAGTGGAATGGGACCCGCATCTCCCTACCTTGCGAGACACCACAATTTCAGATCGATCTGGATGGTTATTTGTTGAAAGTGACAACCAAAGCAGGTAGGGCAAGTGTGTGTGTGTGTTTTCCCTCAAGAATTTCTCGAGTGCAGCTTGAACAGCAGTCAGTAAGAAAAGCATGATACCAAAGCCACTCTATCACTCCCCCTTCTCAAATGGACATGGGAGAGAAAATATAACAAAAGGCTCGTGGGTTGAGATAAGGAGACAGGGAGAGATCGTTCACCTTCTTACATAGTGTTTGGGTTGGATGGGACCTTCAAAGGTCATCTAGTTCAACCCCCCTGCAATGAGTAGGGATAAGATAACCCTGAGATGCTACCACCATTGCTCATGGGCTCAGCTTTGGCCAGAGGTGAGTATGTCTTGGAGCTGGCTGGCATAGGCTTTATCATACATAGAAGAAGCTTGCAGCTTCTCACAGAAGCCATCCCTATAGCCCCCTCTGCTACCAAACCTTGCCATGCAAACCCAATACACAGGGTCATCAATTGATACTTGAAGGTGAGAGCAGAGAGGAGATCAGTTCTTAAAGAGATCATTCATGGTTTTATCCAGTTGCAGCAACATAGCTTACAGTCTAAGTCAGAAATGATATAAAATCATAGTTACTAATGGCTAGAATGAGTTTAAGTTGTCAAATTATGGGAATATTTCACTGTGGGTACCCAGCAAAATGGAGGCCCTGGTTGGAAAACCGTAGCTTAATTTGCCACCGTGTTGGGCTTGCTTTGTGCTCAAGTAAGAGTTTGTCTGCAAGGAATAGAGTCCAAAGCACCAGAAGCAAAAGGAAATCAGAAGCTTCAGAGAATCTGGTACCTTATTTATGGAAACAGGGAAGGGAGATGCAGACTCTCAGGTCTTTTGAGTCCTAGAAAATGCATTAACTGTCAAAAAGCTGAACCAAAGGACTTACATTTGTTTTGATAAAACTATTCTGAAACTATAGTATCCTTGCATAGATGAATCCTGAGGGGAAGTTTAAAACGTTCTCATTAGCATGTGTTAGGTACTACTGTAGTCCTGAGAGATTTCACACACACAGTGAAGTACTGTTTCAGTGAGAATACCATTTACTGTTAATTCAATTAAATGCCATGTGAAAGCAGTGAAACCAATCTTTCTTATGGAGTGATATGGTCACAGGCGTGACGCATAGTCATACTCATTATCTAGCATCACTTTTTTTGCAAGGGGGGGACACTAAGCACCCACTGTTGAGCTGAGAATTTAGACACCTGTTTATATAGCCCCTGGAAATGTAAGTCTGCATAATGTGGATCCCAGCTCTGGGCTCATTCCTCAAAGTGGCAATGCAGATTTTTGTGGCTGTCTGTAAAATGCACACAAGTTGACCATTATTCACAACTTCTAATTAAAAGCATCTTGAGGGTTTCTCTTTGCAGCCAGCTGAACGCTATGAATTCTGGCTATGTGGAATTCATTAGCCAACCACAGGCCAAGGCAAGGTTTTCCACTGAAGATGAATGACAGCTAATCCTGCTGCTATTCCATTTGTCTCTGGTGCAAGCCTAATAAGTGACTGTATACCACATTGTCCATGTGTTGGCAGAGGGAGTGCAAACATGGCATATGACAACACACCAAACAGTGTGTAATCAATGCAGATTATAGCCTAAGTAATTCCTCCCATTGGCAGAGCAGGATCAGATTTCTCTTGCTGAATGCAGCATGATGGGCCAATTCCTCTTTTCCTTAGCACGTAGGGCCTGGAAAGCAGTAGAACATCATGGCTCCATTCTGCTGGGAGAGGGCAAGCAGCAGAGAGGAGGAATATGCTGCATGGAATTGGTTTAAGGACGAACTTTGTTCCACAGGAAATTATGAGTGCTGGAGGGGGAAAAAATGGAGAATTTTCTGTTTCAGAATGAAATATGGATTTTTAGACAATAGATGTGCTTTCCCATGGTAGGGTGAAAAAAGGGATGAGGGGAGCCGAAGTAATGAAAAATAAATGAAACCATTGCACTACAAGCAAAATTCGAAGTAAAATTAGGCTGGGAAGTGCAGGGTCTGGTGCTTACAGCTCAGCCAGCATTCCCACGGCTTTTGGTTTCCCTTTTGGAGAGCTGGGAGCTGAGCCCTGGATAAAACAGGGGAGCCCAGAGTTTCAGGAAACCTTGTGGTCCCTGGCTACAGAGTGATCTGCATGCAGGGCTGTCCTGGAGTTGCATACCCTTAGAGTCCAGGTTTCCAGGCAGCCCACCAGGCGAGCTGGCAGGAAACCAGCTTGGAGCCTTGCCTGTGCTGTGTTGGAAGTTCATTGAATCTGATATGTCTCCCTGAAGCATTTCAGTTCTGTTGAATTGGCATTTTCCAGTGAAAACCTGTTTTGTTGCTGAATTCCTCACCAGCTGTAGCCCTGGATGCCATGCAGCAGTGATTCTGGCACCCTGCACTTGCAGGTGCTTTGTCATGGGTATGATTGGATGGTGGTGTGTCCTGTGTAAAATCTGTGTGCTAAAAACATGAGAGAGCAGAGGTCAGAGGGCTGGTGTCACTTATCTGTCTCTCTAGTGCAGGAGAACTTTCTGTTGTTTCTGTGTTGATCTTTTTCCCAAAACTTCCTTGCTGAGGTTTTCTGTACCGCTTTGGCACTAAATCCTTAGGGACAAGTGGTCTGCCAGTTCTTGAGGATGCCTTTACCATGAAAAATCAGGCAGAACAATTGATGGGAGTTCCCAGCATGGGGAACTCAGTGTGTGATGTGCATAAATCCAGATGGATTCTTTTTTAAATGCAGTAGAGCACATAGTGTGCCAAGTTAAGAAATCAAGTAACAAGTTGGTTAAGCATCCATCAAAGAAAGGGGAAAATTGGAAAACCTTAAAAAGTAACTCAGAGAATATCCCTTTTCTGCATATCCGCAGATGGGACAGATGCTGCGTCTTTTGGCTTCATATCTCTTGGATACTGATTCTTGTCCAAGTGAATGGGAAACTCATCCATTTTGGGGCAGGGGGAAGGAAAGGATTTATAAGCACGAATAAAATCTTCCAAATAATTTCTTTCTGCCAATGAGACCATTTCAAACATTGTTCCGTAGCGTAGTCCCGTCTGTCACAGCTCTTGCTGGTTTACAGAAACCAGCTGAACTTTCTGCTTGTGACCAAACAAAAAGGCACATTCTGCACAGTGCCAACAAGGTCTGTCAAAATTATCATGCGTGTAGGAGTAAATACCCTTCCTCATTACCCCAGAAGGAAATAAGCTTCATTATGGACAGAAATCTTCAGGCTGTTGATCAAAGCTAGAAATTATCCTGCGATCTAAGCAATTACAGTAGAATATACAGTACCCAGCTAGAGGAAAGGGCATCCTTTTGTCATAGTTCAACTGTGAATCTCTTAAATCAAATTCCATAATCAAAGCAGGATTCTCTAATCTAAAAATGTGTATTTTTTGTATGCTGAGATGAAAAGTAATGAATTTCTTTTATTCTTATCGGCATACTGATTGCTCACAGAGCAACATGTGACACGTAGTTTAACAACTCTCACAGAGTACACATGGATCTTCAGAATAATTTTATAGTTAACCTTTCATAATGAAGGTGATGGGTTTCACTGAAAGTAAGTCTTGGCTTGAGAAAAAAGAGAAGTTTTAAAAGGAAATTTAAGAGAGAATAATTAGCTGGTCTTAAGGTCAGCAGCTTCTGAGGGAGCTCACTTGGGGAAGAAGTTGAACACTGCGTTAAAAACTGGAGTTATTTTCTGAAGAGAACTGAGAATTTGGATCTGGATGCTTCAAGCTTTGTGAAAGTTCATATGATTCTCAAGTCTGAAGAAATCTTAGTTTATAAGTTAATGGAAGCTTTTTATAAATGCCAGCACAACAGTATTAATCTAGTGTCTGCAAATCAAGCTGTGTTTTGTTTTGTTCAGCGTTGTCAGAAGCAAAGACAGCTGGAATTTGAATTTATCCAGCAATGATAATGTGTGAAGCAGCTTAAAAGGCAGCTTTCCTCCTTGCCACTGTTCTGGCCTTGTTAACAACTGTAGTCTTGCACAATTTCTCAGTTGTCTGGGTGTAAAGTGCCTTTGGAAGAGGACACAGTGGCTCTAACGGTTGGACTTGATGGTCTTAAAGGTCCTTTTCAACCTAAATGAGTCTATCAAAGCTTGGTTTATTAGATAAATCGAAACTGCTTTCAGTAACAGCTCAGGACATATTTATCCTACGGTTTCTAACCTATAGTGATAAGAAAATAGTATGCAATATACTATAGTGGTAAGAAAATAGGATGCAATAGACTACAGTGGTATGTGGTGCAGAATTATCTGCACATCCTTGCTGGGTATGTTTTTGCCCAAACCCTTGGTGGCATGGTGTAAACCATACCAGCACCAAGACAGGATGAACCAGTGGCCAAGAACCCCTTCTGTAGCCATAATTGCCATTTGAGCCTCATCCTGTTACTCTGCAGCATGGATAGGAATTGTCATAGGAGACAATGGGATGTGTTGCTAAAGAAAGGATTCCAGCTTTGAACTGAGTCACTGGTATGATAGTTACTTACATGAGGATAGGACAGGATCTGGATCACATAGTGGCAAGCACTGATTTACAAGAGGAAAGGGTGGTGCTAAGCCAGCCCACACAGTAAATGTAGAAAGCTGGAGCAAAGCCCTGGTCCTGCACCACAGAGTGATGCTGTTTGGTATTCTTGGTCAGGGAGGGAGAAGAGGGTAAAATCTGTTTTATCCTCTTTAAAAGCAGATTCTTGTGTTTATCCTTAACTAATCACTGCACACAGGTACTTTATGGGACTAAATTGACAGCAAAATGATTTGTTATCTTCAGGTGCAGCGTTACTGCAGAGATGTGAAGTAGCATTCATCAGACATTGGAAATAATTAAAAGAAAGTCTGGTTTGGGTAGAAGTTAAGCAGCAGTGATTCTTGGTGGTGTTTTTGTTCCATATGATACTAAAATTGCTTTCCCTTATGAGATACATATTTACCCCTCAAAGGATAGTCACCCAGGTAAATACTAGAAGTTTAGCTTCCACCTGATGTCTGGGCTCTCTCAATTATCACTGGAAACAGAGAGGCATTCAGAAGTTAGTTTATTCTGTCTGTATTAGACACCCATATTTTGACCCTGAGCTGCCTGTTTCTCTCCATCAAAGAGAGTGCTCAGACAGCTGACTTGAGCTAGCTTTTAGGTGAGTACAGACAGAGAAAATGTGTTTCACCTGTAGAAGCCAATTTTTGAGGTACTAGAAGTGCAAAAGCCTACTGTAAAACAGACTCGCAGAGCACTTACATCTCACCCACCAGGTGAAGGATAGATATTTACCGTCATTCATTAGTATTGCTGACTGAGGAAGTCAGCTTCAAAAGGTTGGTAATTAACACCTTTTGAAGAAACAGTTTGAATTGAGTTCAGAATGCTTCTTACTACGGTTTTATCCTCTGACATATCACTGTGGTCCACTTTTTAACACTCTTCACCCACACAAAATAAGGTACTTGTATTGGAACAGTTATATTCCAGCCCTAATCATTCTGTTTCTGTGCTATTCACTCAAATGAGCAATCAGTGTCAGCTTTTCAGGCAGGAAAAGGGTGTTTTCCATAAGCTGCTCACTGGTGGAGTCTCATGGGACGTGCACACCTTTGCATTTCCATGTCCTGTGCAGTGGGTGACAATGGCTGAAATTCTGGGCCTCCTGCGAATTCAGGTAGAAATTTATCCTAGCAAATTCCATTTGCAGAATTTTGCAAGAGCCTTCTTTCCAGGTTGAGAGGAGTTCTGCCTTGGCTCCACATTTTTTTAGGATAACCCCACTCATTAGCAAGGAGGAACAAAAATAAACAGAGGTAGGCATGAGAGTATTGTAATTGAATGTGATTTAAGAAACAACTACAGTTGCCAGAGGCACTTACTGGGAGGTATATAGAAACCTAACAACATTATCAGAATGAAGCCAATGGCTTTGTTTAGATTCCCATGAGCACTGTTTCACAAACACAAGGCACTGGTTTTTATCCTCAATTTCTTCTTATTTTCTTTTTGTGTGTGTGTGTGTGCATGTTTTTTTGTCTCATCTCTTTATTAGGCTTGGAAATCTCATGGGATGGAGACAGCTTTGTGGAAGTCATGGCTGCGCCTCATCTGAAGGGCAAACTCTGTGGTCTGTGTGGCAACTACAATGGGCACAAGCGAGATGACCTGATCGGGGGTGACGGGAACTTTAAGTTTGATGTGGATGACTTTGCTGAGTCCTGGCGTGTGGAGTCCAATGAGTTCTGCAGCCGCCCGCAGAGAAAACCTCTGCCTGAGCTCTGTCATGGGACGGTTAGGGTGAAACTCCGAGCCCATCGGGAATGCCAGAAACTCAAAGCGTGGGAGTTCCAGAGCTGTCATTCAACGGTGGATTATACCACATTTTACCGGTAAGTGTGGCTTGCTGTGGAAGGAGATGGTAAGTTACTGTGCAAGGAGCAAAACCACACATCTGGCCCCCTTTCAGTAGCATTTGAGTGCATGATTTGAGCTTCTTTTGCTGTGAATTAATATACAGGCCTAGAGTTACATTATGATGAGCTTTTCTGAGTCAGAAATCAAGAGAAGATGTCCCTGAGCTAATAAAGACCTGAGCAGTCAGTGGTGAGAAGGGCAGGCAGGCTTGTGATCACCTAGAGAAAAAGTACTTCTGGAGACTGAAGAGAGAAGAGGAAGAGACTTCAAGTCATTTCAAAGTCAGCTGTGAAGTTGAGGCTGACATTAATTGCTATTGTTTGTGGTCCAGAGAAGTGTGTCTTCCCAGAAGCATTTTTGAAATGACTTAATTAAAGCAGAGATATGAAATATTACTAGTGCCTGTTGGATGGTGTAGTTTGTGAGTTGAGAATTTGCAAGGAGAGGGTTAACAGAAAGTTAACTTCGCCCCTTCTGCCCTGGGAGCAAAGGAAGACAGACGAGGATCTAGAAGCCTTCTCCGAGTGAATTATTCAAAGTTTTTATTTTTTAAATGCTTCCAGTCTAAACCACAGAGACATCATTTCTGTTCTTTAATTGCCATGAGTTTATTTGCCCCTCACTCAGTAAATAAAATTGGCTTTTCTTCTGATTGCCTGACATAAAAAGATAAAAGTAAAGCCAAGTCACATTTGTATGGTGGCGGATGGAGCTGCCTGATCTCTGCGCTCCCAACTTTCCCCACTTATGCACATCTGTTGAACTGTTGGGCTTATTAGGAAAAGCTTTCGAAAATGACTCAATTTCCCTTATGAATTGCCTTTCCTCTTCTTTTATAATGAGACAGAAAGACTTTTATCTAGCCCAGCAGAATGTCTGGGACTGGGAAATGCTAGAAGACACACAGCTTGGCTTGTAGTCTATGTGCTTCTGCATTTAGTTTGCTATAGTGTATCCCTGTGCTAGCAGCCTGACAGATAGTGAAGATTATATTGTGTGCAGGTTATAATGTTTTGTCTTTTCCAATGGCTGGAGGCACAGCAGAGAGCACTAGAGATGCTAACACACACACAGGTCTGTTGAATACATTTCAGCAACATTCCCATCTCACTTCCATCGTCCTCTAAAGGTAAGTGATGACAATGCAAATAGAAAACAGACACAGAGAGATTTGTTTCATTTTGCAGTGGATTTTTTGTCCCTTTTTAAAAGTAGCTAGTGATTAATTTAGTGCAATACGCTTCCTGACACCACAGTGGAAAATGATTTATATTTTGGCTACAGCAGCCAAAAAAATAATCTCTACATGCTCGCATAGAGCGTTTCTGTTCCTTAAGAATAATGTATTCTATTTGTCCTGGAAAGACAATGAAATCTAGCAAATATTTAATTTGATCATATCCTTTTGTAGAAAAGTCTGTTTTTCCCTAAGGAAACTTTATGTTGAAATGACCATCATAACCTGTCAGAAGTAGCTGTTAGATTGCTTCCATGTAGATGTTGCTAGCTGTTAGACTAGATTCCAATACAGGAATCAAAGATAAAATATAAATTAAAATTAGATAATGGTATTTAGTAGAATGGTACTTCTTGTTAGAAACTGACAAAGTTGGAGCATACAATTTATCCAATGACCCTGGCCATTTCTTATACGAGGAAATTCCCAAAATGGGGTCATGACTGTGGGACAAGCATTCAAAGAAAGTTCTGGGAACCTTTCTAACATAAATCTTTGCTTATACAAACACATGTGCATTTGTGTATATTAGTATAAATAAGTGTGCTTAAGAGATTTGCATTTTTTTGTGTATTATTTTTAAAGAACTCATTGCTGGTGATGTAGTTTTGCAGAAAATTTAAATTACCATTAAAAAAAATTTAAACTGACCTTTACAGCTTTTCACTGAGGTCTTTCAAGAAAGCATCTTTAGTCACTGTTTTTTAATTTCAGGCTGGGTGTAACTAAATAGTTTTCCAATTCTGCTTTACTAACTATGGAAAAGCTTCTAGCAGTAAGAGAAGTGATGAGGCAGAATGATAGGGTCAGGTTCTTTTGGTTTATTATCCATCTCCTCTTTGAATGAATAGCTTCAAATGGAAATAGTATTTCCATTTGAAATACTGCATTCTCAAGAGTTAACCTTTCTTGGTCATTCTTGCCTATATTATCAACATTGACTCATTTTCATTATGCTGCTCTGCTAGTGACATGCTGTTAATAAGAATTCTCAGAAATAGAAATGGATTCAGCAGGAACTTTATGAATCAGGGTGTGTTTTCTCCCAATACCAGTGAAAACAGGCAGTGACCAATGCATTGCAAACATTTGTCTGACTCTGTGTTACTGAGGAGATTTTTGTGAAGAGGTCTCAGTTTAATTTTGTCTCCTCTTTACAGCTGCAGTTTCTCTTTTCGTTAGCCATTGAAAAAAACATATACAGCAAGATTGTCATTGATTGTTAGGTGAAAAGGATATGGTTAATGTTTTAAAAGAGTAAAGATCTAGCTGCATTGTTGTGCGGTTAAAAGCAGTTAACTCCTGAGCTTGACTTTGATAGAACTGTGACACCTTAGGAGAAATGGTTGTGCACCTTGCCCTTAACCCTTCTTTTTTGACATTGTGACTTTGGTGATGTGTTTCTCTGCAAAGCACATGGTAGAAGAAAGCACCAAGAAACTATTTTGGAATAGCCCTGATTGCAAATAACAATTTTAGCATCTCCTTTTATACCACTCTTTTGTTTTGTAACTAGATATGTTTTATAGGCTTTTAATTGTGGTTTGGTTTGGTTAGTTTTGATTTGGTATTTTTGATTTGTCTTTAATGCATTGCTAATTGTTCAATACTCATGAATAACACTCTAAAAATAACCCTTAGGGTTCAACTTTATGGAGGCAAGTTCATTAAGAAGGGAAACAGTTTTGAATTTCCAGGATATTTCAGTAAAATTTGGGTGAAGAAGAGGCTAGCAGTGACACTCATCACCATTGCCACTTATCTATTTAGAGATTTTAATATGAGTAAGCATCCTTGCCAAAGAAAGTTACCAAGGTTACTCAGTAGCAGGCTTTTACAGGGGGTACTCTGACCTCTTATGCAATAAAGCTTGCACTCAGGCTCCTGAAGCTGCTGTTGAGTATAAGCAATACTAAAAATACTTGGTAACGTGAATCTGTCATGCTGCTGTTACCAGAAAAAGCTCTATCACATTATTAAGAACTATTATGGTATATTTAAGCTCTTGGATGAAGAGTTGGGGATCTTAGAGGACCTGAGGAAGGAGAAGACAACTTTCTGTGCTCACCAAGCTGTACCCCATGGCTGATCTCATTGTGTGCCTTCGGGGCAGGAGCCTGGAAGAGACTCCAGCCCCAGTGAGATCAGGGAGCAACATGGCGTGGGAGACAGGTCTCTAGTGTGCCCCCATCCATGCCGATGCCTCTCAGGAGCCTCCTTGGAAGGCAACAGGCAGCCCCAAACAGGGGTGCAGGGCTGACAGCAGTGCTCAAGTTGGGCTGAAGGAGACACCATAAAGGAAAGCACAGGACTGACTAACACTTTTAGAGTCTGCCTTCATTAGCATCTGTGGCTTTCTGGTAGACTTTTTTGGTTTTTAATAGTTTGATATCACCAGCAGCTTTGACATGTGACATCAACATGGTATCAGTATATCACCCATCTCTAACACACTTACACAGTAGCTGAGTTTATAAATGGGTAGTTAGACATTTCTCAAGTCTAACTTAACTTTAACTCTCACTGCTGCCATAGCTCTGGAAAAATATTCAATGTCTTACTTTTGCCATGCAGCAGACTTCCTTATTTGAGATTGGAAAATCTGTGCTTCTAAGTCTTGAAACAAGTCTTTTTATTATTACTCTTCCTATTATTATAGTTTTGTTAATTCCACTGTTATTGTCATGTTTTAACAGCAACAGCATACACTTAAGTTGCATACATACCTATTGCAACATACATACTTAAGTCACTCTTTTTTGATTGTCCTAAGAGATATGTTTTCTCTCAAACACTTGAATTTAGTCATATTTGGCATTTTATAGCAAGCAGTAATTAACATAGTAATAGCCTCATTGTTTGAATCTGTGAATCAAATACATTCAGGAATTGCAATTTTTGTCTTTAATGTTCGTTGTGACTCTGCTGACATTACTCCATCTCAGCTCCTGGTTAGTCAGTTATTGGGTTTCTATCTGTTACCCAGGTAGCTGTATGCAATTAACTGCTGCATTTTTGCAGGCTTTCTAAAGCATTCTGTTTAACCAGTGAAAATATTGATCAAAGTTGGAGTATAAATTGCGATGTTGAGTCCATCAGCTCCCTGTTATTAATTTTGACAGATATGCCATGAATGGCTGCAGAGAGCATGTGAGCTGTAGCATTTCTAAGTTAATGCAAGCACTATTTAAAAGATGGGGACCAAGGGTTTGTGGCTTTGAAGCAGAAGGTTTAAAAGGTTTTTTTCCCTGTTAACAATGATGTCCTACAGCTGTAAATTCATGTGGTTATAACCCTGTGTTCACTCAGCAGGATGGTGCAAAAGAAATGTAGGCTGAAGGACTTCAAAAAAGCTGGCTTCAAGTGTTAAAGGGGTGGGTGGAACTGGGATCTCTGGAGCACTCTGCTGCCAAGGGTGCATATTGCAAAATACACAATAAAAGAAATAAGGGTTTCTGGTCCTGTCTGTGTCTGTGGGCGCAGCAGTGGGCTGTACTGCTCCAGCGCTCATCTGTGATGTGACCAAGGGTAGCTGTAGCTCTGAGTGCTCACCAGGGTCATTTCTGTCCCAGCTCCTGCACCAGTGGCTTTCCAGTCTCCCCAGGGCAGAGCAGCCTGTCCACCCCTTTCAAACAAGCCAGTGGTGATGGCTTGGACCTTGGCTTGTCCCCTTGCTGCCCTGGCACAGAGCAGGGGCTGTTTGTCCCACTCGCTCTTGTGCTAAGGTAGGGATGTTCT